TTAAATATTTTCTTATAAGAAAAATTACTCCCCAAAAAACCCACATGACAACATATTTAATGGTGCAAAATTTTAAACATTCCTTTTAAATTCAGGAACAAGACAAAGATATTTACAAGACAACTTCTAGTCAATGATGTGCTACATTTCCTAGCCTGCACATTAGGATAATGGAAAGAAATAACAGATGTTAACATCTGACAAGCTACCAGGGGCTACATGGGGAGCCTGACAAGCTCAAGAGTAATCAGAGGATGGTCCATAGATTCCTAGCATAGGCCATGGTGTATAGTTCCATCTCAAGCCTACAGTCTCCTTCCTTAGCAAAGATCAATCATTACCTTAAATGAGCTCTGTCCATTGTCCTTATGCATCTAGGATAATATACCAGAGTAATTCTTTTCTAGACCCTTAAAGGCACCAGAGCACAAGACCACAAACCCCTCATTGCTATCTTGATCCCCTCATACCATCTCTCTATGCTGCAAATGTTAATTAACTATCCTGTACCCACTAATGTAAAAACAGGCTTCCCCATTTTACTTTTCATCCAATTCTAGAGATTTCCCTACTTTCCTTTCTCCTACCTCCTTGATCCACCATACCATTAATGGATTTCATGTAATCTTCCTTACATCTTTTCCTTTGATTCTGATGTATGGGATAGGCTGCAAAACTGCCATTCTTTGGAGCATTTTCTCAATCCATTGAGATTTTACTTCCAGGCATGTTCTCAAAATTTTGTTTCAAATAAACTCTTTTAAAAAACCTTTTCTATAGGCTGGACATTCTTTCCTCAACAACCTTTCTGTGCCTCATTGCTCATTAGAAAATGGAAATACTAATGCCAATCTCGTAAGGTCATTGAGGATTAAATGCTATGAAAAGTATTTAAAATATGACTACCAATTAGTACTAACTATTATGTATTATTATAATCTCAAGATGTATGATAGTGTGTGTGAAAGCAGGAAAATGCAAAAAGGGGCATGCAAGTATTCATTTTATTTTCAAAAATAAACTTTTTATATATTTATTGTTATAAAATCTATGATATATTCACAAAACATTTTTGGGTAAAAGGCCTGGCCAGAGATCGATTAGATTAGCTTATAAATTAAGTCCAAAGTGTCCTAAGTGTTGACTATGGTTACTAGGAAAATAAAAAGGACAAGACTATGCTGCCTGTACTATCATTTTTGTTTTCCGGCTGCTCTCCACTAGTGAGTTGGGATAGGCTCCAAAACTGCCATTCAATAAATATTAGTAACAAGAGCTTCTAAGTGTTACTCTTAAAGTAAAAGGCTACCATACTTAAAAGAACAATTCAAATGTATCAACTAAGTCCATGTTACCTATGAGATTTACATGGTAGCTGCTTCCTAGACTGTGTTATTTGTTCATCTACTTGTTAAAAATCCTTGCCTGGTCAAAGCACCTCTATTTACTATAGCTAACTCTGTGCTGGATTTATCAATGTTAAGTGAATTGTTAATGTTCATACCCCTGAAATCTGAGTATGAGTAGCCTTCTGATTCCATGTGGTAGTTTTAAAAGGTCATTTTGTGTTGTCATATTTTATGGTCATATGTTTGTTAAGCTAAAATGCTTTTTAAATTCTTTTGGAAATGCCAGCCTTATTTCTGACATGACAGTTAAAGTATCTAAGCTGTGCCATTTCTTCTGTTAAATTGTCATTTTGTTTTGAGAAATAGTGATTTCCAAATTAGACATTTTGATGTAGCAGGTTCAATGTGATTAGGAAGGTTGGTCATGTTTTGATTTGTAAAGGGTGGTAGATATTTAAACCTTAATGTATTCTTGATATTTAGAATCCACTTAAAGCTGAACTTGGTATATAAAATATATACGCTTTCCTATTAAACATTCTATGAGGTTTCTGACCAGGTTACCTTAAAGACCACATTGCAGTACCACTGCTAGCTGGACAGTCTTGGCAGTGTGCAGTTCAATTCAACATTTACAGGCATACCTCATGATTTGTGCTTTGCTTTGTTGCACTGCACAGCGAGGTATTTTTTACAAATGGAAAGTAAGACCCTCCCCCGGCAAAAAGATTACTGCTTGTTTTATTGTGATGGTTTCTCCAAGGTATGCCTGTATAATAGCATTCCTTGCTTAGTCTCCCAGTACAGGTGCTTTTGAGAGCAGCGAAAAGCCTCTTATCCCAATTAAGTTTAATGCACCTCAAATCTTATATAATCTCATCCATCTATACTTAGTGACACTTCTTCCTAATAGTCAAATGGTTCTTCTTTTACCTTCCTTTTTATTGACCTAATTCCTGGTTGAATTCCAATTGCTTCAGTCATTCTTTTTCCATAATCAGCCCTGACCTCTGCAAACCTGTTCCCCTCATTCAGCTGAAACCCTGAAGGTTATTTCTGGTCTCACTAACACAGACCCTAACAATATAGTCACCGAAAACTGAAACTAAGGAAAAGTCTTTATCAAGGTGACTGCTCTCTTTTAACATTCCCTGAACACTTTCCCCCACCTGCTTCTATGAGATAACTTTACCCTGATATTCTCCTGTCTTCTTCCTTCACTATCCAGTCCCTTTTTTTAACCTACTTTTATAATCCATCTAAATACGACTCTACCCCTACACTACTACTGCTCATCCCAAATTATTTCAAGTTTACTCAAAGTACCTACTCTCTCGGCACAAACCTCAAATGCCTGTGGTCCCTTTTTCTCTCTGCTCTCTTCTTGTGACAAGCACTTAGAATCCCTTCATCATCCATCCAGCTGGCTCCATCTTCCCTTCTAGGAATTTAACCTAAGCACAGCTAATCACTGTTCCCTCAGTTATTCCAGGATGGTAGTAGCATTGATCAGCCTCCACAGTGCAATAAATCTCATTGCCTGTGGTTCCTGTTCAGTGCTTTGCTGCTTCAGAATACGGACTCTATCCTATTTATCTGTGTAATCACAGCGCCTAAAGCAGTGGTTTTCAACCTTGGCTGCACATTAGAATCACCTGGGAATCTTTTTAACATCCTGATTTCTGGGCCTCAACCTCCGGAAATTCTGTTTGTTACTAATGTTGTGGCTCCACCCCATAACAAAGAAACAGAATTGCCGGAGGATGAGGCCCAGAAACCAGGATTTTAAAAAGATTCCCAGGTGATTCTAATGTGCAGCCAAGGTTGAGAACCACAAGGTTAGGCTCGTAAAGGTATGCGAGGCACTGGGCATTTGCTAATTAAGAGATAATGGCTCTAACTCGGGCCTCCTCCCATTTACTGCTTATTTCCAGTAGTATTCCCAAAGCGGCGGTTTCCAAAATGCATGCTCGACGCTCCATTAGCAAATATGAGGGACCTAACTGGCTGGTGGCCCTCGCGAAGGCAAAAACAATAATGAACATCCAGCTAGCTCCCCGTGTGGCTTCTGCAAAAGGGCATTGACACGCTGAAGTCAGTAGCCAGGTGGGAGGTAGGAAGCGCGAGCTCCGGGCAGGATAAGCACGGAGCTACCGGGAGGACGGGAGCGGGGGCCCTGCGGTCAAAGGAGTCAGCTTCAACAAGGGCTGGTGTGCACGCCAGGCTGCGGTCCATCCACTGCAGCCATGAAGCCGCCGGCCGGGGCGCCTACCTGGTTGGGCAAGATTCCTAGAGGGGCCGTTACACCCACGTGACCCACTCAGCAATGTTTTCGCAACTCAGGGTGTGGGCACAGTCATCCTAGCGGGTCCTGGCTGTGCCCCGGGGCTGCTAGGCTAAAGGTAAGGGGGCGTGGGAGATAGAGACGGGCCGGGCCATGGGGGGGAGTGCAGCCTCGCAGAGGAGCAGGGGGCGGAGGGGGGCAGCACGGGGCTTCGGGCGCCCTCCGCCGACCCCCGGGATGCGGGGAGACGCGGGGCCGAGGGCGCTCTGAAGGATGAGAGAAGCAGAGGCGCCACGACCCACCTGGGGCCCAGGCGCGGGGCACCCGCTTCTTACCGAGAACTGAGACCCAGAAGTCGTCGAGACCGACGCTGCCGCCATCTTCCCGTCTGCCCAGCGGACCCCGCAGCCCCGGAGCGGGCTGGTTCTCCTGCCGTCCTTCCAAATCCGGGAGCCGCCCGCCGAGGGCGACCCTAAGCCGAGCCCCAGGTGGAAGGGGCCGCTAGGGTGCTGGCGCCGGGTCTGGAAACCCCTACCGCACACCCCCACAGGGACGCCCACGCTGAGCGCGCACACGGAACGGGCCACACGCACTAACGGGCGTCCGGAACAGCCAATCAAAAAGGCGGGTGTCTTCCGGGAGTCGGAGCGAATCCGCCTCTTCTCCCGGTGACGTCACAAGGTAGCGCGCAGCCGAGAACGCCACGGCGCTAAGGCGGTGGCTGCTAGACAGCTCTGAGGGCGAGCAGTCTCCCAGAGTAGACGTGGGCGAGGGGTCGTGTTTTGTCTCCTAAGGCACTTGACCCGAATGACCGTTAGGAATGAAAGCGAATGCGAAGTTCACACACTGCACCGGTACTCTGGGACTAAAGGCCAAGGAGGGCGTTCGCTTGACTCCGGGACGTCAGTCCAGGTGAAGTACTCACCTTCTGGCCAATAGCAGATAGAAAGAGGAGGGGCTTGACGATCTGGTCCAATACAAGCCCAGGGAAGGGGCGTGGAGGCCGAGCGTAACCCTTCGCGAACCCTTGCCCAATTGGATCCGGGAGCTCTCACCCAAACCTCAGACTGGCTGCTGGGGGGCGGGGCGAGTTTAAAGCGGCTTTCCCGCGCCCAGAGCGCCGGGCGCTGATTGGCCAGCGACTTCCTCCCTTTGTGGGAGCTCCCTGCGTCGCCGGGGTTAGGGGTTGGGAAGAGCGGCCGAGTGACGCAGAAGCTCGGCCAGCTAATCAGGGATGGGGAAGGGGGGCCAAGAAGGAAGCGGATCCTCTGCCGCGCAGCTAAACTGCAGCCAGCAACCCGCTTCGTCTCCCTCCGCCGCCAGCGGGGCCTGAGCGGGAGCGGCTGGGACGGCGTCACTGGGTGGGCTGGGGCGGAAGTGGAGGCGGAGGGAGACGGCGGCGTCCGCAGGGCTCGGGCTTCCCCGGGCAAGGCCCTGGTGGGCTTAAGGTAGGGGGAGGGGGCGGAGGAGGAGCCCGCGGCCCGGGCGGCGGCAGCGCCCGACTTCCCCGTAGGGCCCCGCCTCGGAGCGGGCGGAGGTGGAGGAGACCGAGGAGCAGGATGGCGGCCTCGGCCCTGTACGCCTGCACCAAGTGTACCCAGCGCTATCCCTTCGAGGAGCTCTCCCAGGGCCAGCAGCTCTGCAAGGTCCGTGGGCGCTGGGCGGCGGGCGGGTGGGGTGTCCTCGGCCGTAGCCTCCGGGAGCTGGGTGCCCGCCGAACTGCATCCCCGCTCTCGGTGCCGGCGCCTCGGGGCTCTGGAGCCCTGGCCCCCACGCCCGGGGACCCGTTTCATGCATGACCCGGGCGCCAGCTGCCAAAGGCCCCCGAGAGGAAGGCAATCCCGCCCGGAAGGGGTCCGGACCCGGGCCACATTCCGGGGTCCCGGGGGTGGGGCTGACGGAGAGAGACAGCCACCTGTCTGTGCCGCAGAGACCCTGGGCTGGAGATGTTTTGGTTTTGGGCTTCTTTTTTTTTTTCTTCCCCTCCTTTGCCTGGTTTGCCCTCTCCTTCCACCGGGAGGCAGGGGACGGTTTTTGCACTTTCTTGCTAGGAACCTGAAGCAGCAAAGCTGATGGCATCCTCCTTCCCTGTCCAGGAAAGCGAAGCGACTAGCTTGGGAACAGAATGCTCTATGATTTGGAGCTCCTCCCAGCCCCTTAAAGCCGGGGTGCTGTCTGTGAGCAACGGTGCACAATAATGAGTAGTTTCGCATTTAAGCGGTGCTTGAAGTCGGCCCTGACAGCTTTTCTTAATTTATCAGTAGCATTACCCCCCCCCAACTCCATCTAATAAAGACAAAGACACCCATGCCTTCCCTAAGGAATTACACCACTTGTATGATGAGTCGCCCCAATAAATCTTATTAATGTTTTAGACATTGCCTAGGTTAGATAATAATTTTAAACCAGAAAAGTGAAACTTGGGACTTTGAGAGAGGTACTGATCAATTCACTGTCTTACTACAGGAATGTCGGATTGCGCATCCTATTGTAAAATGTACTTACTGCAGATCAGAGTTTCAACAAGAGAGGTTTGTATAACAACACTTTTTGATAAAGATATTGTCTGTAAGGAATACTTGGGGGTTGTAACTCCACATTTAAGGTGTTTTTTAAAAAATGGTTTAGCTTCTTAAATGTTAAGTTGCGGAAGAGAGAATGTTGACAAAAAATTAATGGTAATTGTTTCTCTAGACTTCCGTTTGAACATGAGGAAATAAATTATTGTATGGAACATGAATAGACCTGCTAACAAAAAATTCAAATATAAGCATGTACTCTTAAGCTAAAAATATGGCACAATATTAGTGCTGACATGGACCTGAGGGAACGACTATAGTGTTACCAACTATCTTCCAAGAGTGAAATCTAGGACTTTTTAATAGGATGGTTCTTGTTAGAAAATTAGAGTACACGTAAGAGAGTAACCTAAGAGAAGAACAGTAATTTCTTCATAAATTGGTGTGGAATGATCTAGTGGAGAAGGCCATTGGGCGGTTAGGTAGGCGCTGACTTACGATGCTCTGCATAAATAGTGGCACGTGTTGGTTTTGCAACAAGATACCAAACATTAAGACTCTTTGTTTACCAAAAACGCACAATGAAAATGTATATAAAACATTTATCTTAAGTCAGTGGTTTTCAACCTTTTTCATCTCATGGCACATGTAAACTAATTATTAAAATTCTACAGCACACCAAAAAAGATATTTTTTGCCTATCTGACAAAAAAAAATTTTATTTCATTTCCACTGGACAGTTATTGTTGTGTTGGCTGTTATTATTTGGCAATCTAAGGGAAAAGAGGTCATTGCCCCTGGCTAAGTAGTCAGATATTGCATGTTTTAAAGATTCCTGCAGCACACCAATCACTGTCTTCAGGTAATGGAAGAGGAGTAAATTTGAATAATAGATAACCCTAAAAAGATTCTTATGTTTGTATATTTTTAAAATTGTTAGTTTTTATTTGAGTGAGTTTTAAGTACTAAAGCAAGTTGTATTCTTTATCTGTTTTAAATCAGCATCATGCCAGTTATCTCTGAAAGCTACATAAATTTGATCACCTACAATTTCCTTTTCAGCAAAACTAATACAATTTGTAAGAAGTGTGCTCAAAATGTGAAGCAGTTTGGCACGGTAAGTATGTCATATATTTTCATTTCATGTTACTGTCACTGGTCAATTAATGTTTTACACAAAGATGGACCTTTTAAAATATATATGTAGTTCTTAAATATTTCAACATGTCAAAATATTTCAGGAAATAAATTTTTTGTAGACAGTCTGGGGAAGATGACAATATTTAAAAACAGTCATATGTGCATGTTTTATATATATTAAAAAACGGTGAAAGTTATTCATTAAAGATTCAAATATAATTTATTCATTAAAGATTCAAATATAATAAACTGGTTATGGAGAACCGACTTACCGATAAAGTTGGCATAATCATGGTTTTTTCCCTTCAGAACCTTCAACAATTTTTATATAGCAGCACAATTCAGGCGTTTACTCACAAAAGTAAGGACGTTATTCTAGTACAAATTTTTTTTTATCATGTATATTATAGCCATTATTGGTCTATTACAGTCATGATTAGTCAAAGTGTAGGCCTTAAGGTTCTACAAAATCCTTAATTGTTTTTTGAATATCAAAAGAAAGTCAAGGTATGCATATGCCAATTTTTTAAAGTTGAAAACTCGCCTATAGTGTACATTCCTTGCATCATCTGTACCTGTATAAATGTTTTTTGAATAAATGGTATAGTGATTAACCTAACCAAGGTATTAAATTAGCAGAAGTTTATTCCCTAAATACTGGATACATGAAAATTTTCTATCAGTGTGTACTTCTATTTTCATTCTTTAAGACCTTTTACCCCTGTAGTTAGTGTATTATATAACATACATTGCAAATCATAAATGTTTCTCATCTTTTTTAGCTATTCAATAGAGTAACAAAAAGTTCATAACTAGAAATAAATTTTATTAAATTAATGGAAACATCATAAACATTATGAATGTTATTGAATATGACATTTTACCATATGGTTTTCATATACATTATTTCACTTAAAGTCACATCATTGATGTTAACTGAGGACTTGCTATATTTAACAGAAAAAATTGTTTACCTATTTTTCTTAATTCCAGAAATTGTGCATTGGGTATATTTTGTGCAGCAGATTTTTAACATTTTTAAATGTCTCAGTTAAGAAAAAATATATATCTGTTTTTCAGCCTAAGCCTTGCCAGTACTGTAACATAATTGCAGCATTTATTGGTACGAAATGTCAGCGTTGCACAAATTCAGAAAAGAAATATGGACCACCTCAGACCTGTGAACAGTGCAAACAACAATGTGCTTTTGATCGGAAGGAGGAAGGAAGAAAGAAGGTATGTTTTATTTATGTTATGACATATTCTGGAAATTAAATAAAATACCAAACAAATGGAAGTCATTATAACTAATACACTAGTGAGACTTGATGTATTCTTTGGGTCCCTGAAAGCAGGTAGTTAGATGAAAGTGTAGGAACAGTGCATCTTTTCTTTGCATCATATGTAGATAGATGTTGATCAATTGAAATTACTGTATCAAGGTATGCATATGCCAATTTTTTAAAGTTGAAAACTCACCTATAGTGTACATTCCTTGCATCATCTGTACCTGTATAAATGTTTTTTGAATAAATGGTATAGTGATTAACCTAACCAAGGTATTAAATTAGTAGAAGTTTATTCCCTAAATACTGGATACATTTAGGCTATTCTGTACTACTTGGTTATCTAACAATTGGTTTCGGAGAATTACTGCTTTTACATCCTTATAGCTACTTATACTTTTGCTGGTTATTTGAAGTTACTGGTATGAAAAACTACCTGATGGCACATTAACATGTGTAATTCAAAGTTAGTCTTGTGCCTTTGATTTGGGGCTCATATTTTAAATCATTGTTTTTCTCTACCTATAGTGGCCTAAAAAGTGTGTGTATGCATGTGGCATTCTTCTGATCAGCATTCACACAGGCCTCCTGTTGTCTGTCAGTTTCAGTTGACTTGGAAAGTGACTAACTGAGGAGCTCCCCTAGCTGCTCCCACAGCAATATATGTACCCTACTTATAAGAAATGTTCCTCCAGCACTTTTTGGGTGAACAAATAGAAGCTAGAAACTTAATTTATTATTATAGTTTTAGTCTGAATAATTTTGGAAAGAAGTCTCTTTTCCTCCCCCTTGACATGTACAAGTGATTCTTGTTACTGGTAGTAGTTATCTATATACATAAAAGCCTAAGCGACTGGCTGGTAGCTATCATGCACAGTGACCACCAGGGAGCAGACGCTCAATGAACAAGCATGGAAACAGAACAGACTGATGAATCTCAGGTGGGAGGAGGGAGGGGGGGTGGGGGAGGGCGGGAAGAGATTAACCAAAGATCTTATATGCATACTAGAGTTCCTGTGCACGGATTTGTGTACTGGTGGGGTCCCTCGGCCTGGCCTGCTGTGATCTGGCCGAAACCGGCTATCTGACATATCCCCCGAGGGGTCCCAATTGCGAGAGGGTACAGGCCAGGCCAGGGACCCCACGGGTGCACAAATCCATGCACCAGACCTCTAGTAGTCTATAAAGTTACTGCAAACTTTGAGTTAGTGAATACTGAACCATTGCTCCTAAGGATAATTATAGGAATAGGTTCCTGCCTCTAGTCACAACGTGGCGATCAGCACATAATCTTGTTTTGTGTATATTTCTGTTTAAAGACACTTTAATATATATTGTTGATTGATTAAATTGAGCTCACAGCAAACAGCATTAAAACTGCCTGAATGAAGCTTATCTAACACATGTATTTTCTGCATAAGGTACTTCACAGCCTTGTTCTTAGGAACACATCACATCACTACACCTTGGAACCATTTTAATCAGTGAAATTACTAATAAAAAGCCCAAAATGCAAAAAAAAAAAAACACGTGGCACTGCTAGACCATGAGAAGGATACTTGTTTACAGTGTGAGAGCTAAAAGAAGTCAACAGATTGTCATTTTGCTCAGCCTGTTGCCATCCAGCTACACAAATTGCTGCTCTGTGCATGTGCATGGATGATCACGAAAGTGCTGCAAGTTGACTTTAGGGTTATGTCTAAATTTCAGCAAGTAGGTGATGAATTTAAAAATGTGAAATCTGGCCCTGACCAGTTTGGCTCAGTGGATAGAGCGTCGGCCTATGGATCAAAGGGTCCCGGGTTCGATTCCGGTCAAGGGCATGTACCTTGGTTGCGGGCACATCCCCAGTAGGGGGTGTGCAGGAGGCAGCTGATCGATGTTTGTCACTCATCGATGTTTCTAACCCTCTATCCCTCTCCCTTCCTCTCTGTAAAAAAAACAATAAAAAAATAAAAAATAAATAGAATCTGCAAATAATGAGAATCACTGTATATGTTATTCAAGCTCTTCTTTTTTATATAAATTAATAGTTTTTGCTGTAGGGGAAAATACTTTGTTATTTTAGTAATTACACTGATTTAAGAATTAAAGTTAGTGTTTTGGTAATATTTTTTTGAAGTATATCATCAATTTTCAAAGTAATAAGAAAACAACTTTCTCTCTCCAAAGTAATCAATATCTCAAAACTAACGGAAGTCTAGATATCATCCCTTATGACCAACTTTATGACTCCAAACAAGCATTTTCCCAAATTTCAGAAAAGTCTAAATTTTACTTCCATTTTGCAACACTGTATGTATGTGTAAAAGCGAGAGAGAAGAAGGGGGTGGGGGAGAGGTAAATACAGCTAGAAGTTTATAGCACTTTATATTACTTGGTTTCACCTATGGCCAGTTAATAGGTACACTTAATCTAATACAAATCTTTTCTTTAAAAAGGTTGATGGAAAGTTATTATGCTGGCTCTGTACTTTATCATACAAAAGAGTTTTACAGAAGACAAAAGAACAAAGGAAGAGCCTGGGATCTTCCCATTCAAATTCATCATCTTCATCTCTTACGGAGAAAGACCAGCATCATTCAAAACATCATCATCACCATCATCACCATCACCATCGTCACAGCAGTGGCCATCACAAGTAAGTACTTTGAAATCATGTTTTTAAAAATCCTCCCAGGCATTTAATGCCAAATATTAGCTATGTGCTGGTTTCCATGGTACAGGGTAAACTTCTTGAGTGTCTATAGTTTCCCCACTTTATTCAATGTATTTAATTTGTACACATGGACTGTGTTTAGCTATTTACCATTATAATAAAGATAGGACATTTAGGGAATTTTATGGAGTCAAAATACAAGTGATGATTTTTTTTTAAAAAAAAGCCTCGATTTTCTTTCATTTTTTTTTTAATTCTCACCCCAGGTTTTTTAGAGAGAAAGGAAGGGAGAGAGGAAGGAGGAAGGGAGAGAAAGAGACAGAAACATCCATGTGAGAGAGAAACATCGATCAGTTGCCTCTTGTACATGCCCCGATTAGGGATGGAACCTGAAATCTTCTTGGTGTATGTGACCACATTCCAACTTAACTGAGCCACCTGGCCAGGGCAATTTTCTTTCTTTTTTAAATTTTTTATTTAAATAATTGTTATGACTTTACTTGTAAAAATTATATTTACCTTTGTTACCATTAATTTGTTTTAGTTAAAAACAATTAAACCAGTGAGTAGGAAATGTAAATTCAATACTATTGAGAACTGATTGTAACACTATCATTAGTGACCATGATAGAAACATTTGAAATCTTGAAAGTTCTCAAAGTGTGAGAAGTAATTTTTTTTAACTGGTGGTGCTTTGCTGTATTTTTAAAAAATACATAGGAACTCTATTCAAATATAAAGAACTCCTTGATTTTTAAAATGGGGGGGAGTTATATAGTAGTAATAGCTTAACACTTAACGTCTGTACTATAAAGATGTTTAAGTGTGGTTTTATGCAGGGAAAAATCAAGAATATTGAAACACGAACACGTATTTAAATGGAGAACACAGGAACATCATATACAGGTTTTCAGAAGAGTTCACTGTTTTTCCCCCCAAAATTTCTCTATGAGTCTAAAGTTCTAGATAGGCAAAACTTAATTTTATTTACAGGAAACATAAATTAGTTAGGAACACAATTAGTGATATATAGGAAATATAACATGGTTCTAATTAAAATTTGATTTTAAATCAAGGCAAGTATATATTAGATTATGGGGTATTATTGAGGCAATGATGTTGTTTACTTCAGGAGCAATTTTTTCCACTTTCTTTCCTTATTGTGTTGTGCTTTCTGGATGTAACAATGCTAGACCGAATGGTGACTTTTAATATGGCTATTTTGAAGAAATCTTGTGGTCTTTATATCAGAATACCCCGAGGAGCAAATCTTTCCTTTTTCTGTTTCTTGCTTTAACAAAAAATATGACAAATGGTATCCAGCAGACCTACTGCTAAGACTCAGCCGAAGTGTCCCTCTCCTTTGTCCTTTACAGATAAATTGGTCTTAGTGTGATGTGAAAGGACACACTCAGAGTATGCTTATAAGATCAAATTCTAGGACTGGAACTTAAATCTTTTAAAAATCACAGGTTTCAAAAATAAAGGGAGAGAGGATGGGATTGACTTTTTTTCCTTTTGACTACTTAAGAAATGCAAATACTGTTTTGTATTTGATGGATACAGACCTTTGACATGCAACTAACCAGTTTGTGGGGTCCTATCTTCAGTTCAGTAGATTAGAAAAATTATGAGGAGCATACATATTGTGAAATACAGTGATGGAAGGGGGGAAGGGAAGAAAATCTGGTCAGTCTGGATCCAGAAATGGCCTACCTCAGAAAGTGAGGATGATAATTCTATTTCAGTTTAATCATTATTAATATGATAGTTCTCACTTTGAAATCTGGATAGTGCCATTAATTCACATGAGATTTTATGGTTTGCTACTGCTACTAATGAAGTTTTTTAAAATAAACAAAATGGCAGCTGAATTTCTTAGGGTTGCCATACATTGCCACATGTAAGGAAAAACTCAGGTATATAGATTAGATGATATTTACTTAGAAGTGATTTTTAAGAACATGATTTGTTTTTTACTTTTGCTTAAAAAAACTTCTAGACTAAAACAATAGAAAAAATTTATGCACAGACGTGTGTGTGTATGTATATATATACATACATATTTATACATACACAAATAACTCATTAATCCTCAGATGTATTATATCTATTTTATAGATGAGGGAACTAAGGAATTTTAAGTACCTTGAAAAAGGCCACACAACCCAGGGCTTCTACGTCTCTTTTATTGTATAAATATGTACGTAGTAGATGCTCTATACATGTTGAGTCAGTGAACTAGGGGTTAATGGAGAATTGGCTAATGTGCAAGGACGGGGGGAAGTTTGTAGGCTTCATAGTGCATTATGAAGTGGCTGTATTGATACTATGGCATAACGAAAGAGAAGTGGTATAGTACTAATTATAAGTAAAAGTTAAATCAGTTGTTACTATGAAATTTCCCAGTATTTCAGGATGACTTCTTCAGAGTACTGATTAAAGGAAGATCTAGAGACTTTGGAGAGAGTTCTTAGAAAAAGTAGGAAGGAAACAAAGACGTTAAGATATTTCCTGGTTCAAGTTGATACACTATTTTGAGCAACTTGAATTACTCCAAAGGAAGAATCTTCATGTAGGATTATTAGGAAGCCCTGACTCTAAAGGTAGAAATCTATCTGAAATAGTAAGGGCAGCCTAAGTATGATGATTCTCAGAGTTTATAATTATAAATCCCTTTTGTGGTGTTTCATGGTCATATCCTCCCACCCTTAGTATGATAGTAAATTGAATTTGGAGGTCCTCATTAAAATAAAATTCAGTCCCTGTCTTTGTACCTTTTTTGAAGAACTTAAGATGACTAGCAGTCATCTGATTAGAATGCATCTTATTAGAATGTGATTTATTCAATATATATTTGCTTAATTGAATATGCCTTTCTCTGAACAAGAGATTATAATAAGCATATATAGTGTAAATTCATTGGGAAGAATGTTATTAAATGTAGATGTATTAAATAAATGTTGTTATTAGATGCCATTTGTATATTTTTCAGAATCAGCAATCTGAGTCCAGAACAAGAGCAGGGACTGTGGAAACAGAGGTAAATATCCTATATAATAAAGAGCTAATGTGCAAATGGTCGTCAACGTCGTAATGGCTCAGACACTCAACACTGGTGAGAGAGGAATGGGGACCAGCCAGGCACAAATGAGCTCATGAGAGAGGAATGGGGACCAGCCAGGTTGCGGCCCAGGAGAGGGACAAGCCACCCGTCCTGTGGTCCCGGGCACCTGCGGCCTGCACAAAGCTCCCCACCCACAGTCCCCTGCGGCTGCGGCTGGCTAGAGGGAAGGAAGCCCGGGTCCCAGATGCCTGCAACTGGCCAGAGGAGGAAATCCTGGGCCCCTGGGTGCAGGACGAGGCAGAGGCGGTTAGAGGTGATTAGGCCAGCAGGGGAGCATTTAGGGGCAATCAGGCAGGCAGGCGAGCTGTTAGGAGTCAGTGGTCCCGGATTGCAAGAGGCAGTCGGACATCTCCCTAGCAGTCCCGGATTGGAGAGGGTTCCCCCTTGCCGCTGCCCCCCCCACTCGAATTTTGTGCACCCAGCCTCTGGTGTTAACATATTTTCTGAAGTATATTGAAAAGTATTTTTTAAATGCGATTTCCCATTAACCTTGTTACTTAGGCTTTTAAAAAAATCAATGATGTTTGGTAATATTTGGGGGGAAGAAAAATAACATCATTTGGTGCCTCAGCCCTTTTTCCTCTAATTATTCTTATTAATGTTTGGTTTCAGCCATAAATCCTCTGCAGCAATTCAGAATGAAACTCCAAAGAAAAAGCCCAAATTGGAATCTAAGCCATCTAATGGAGATAGGTAAAAATGAATTCCTTTAGCGAAAATCCAACTTAGTTGAAAACAGTTATAGTTGATTGCCAGTTACTACTAGGTGAAAGAACAGAAACATGTATCTTCTACATTGACTTCTTTGAGTCATTCAGAAGAGTAAACATAACAGTTAAAAAATTTTAACTTAATTTTGGCAATAAGAAAGTGGCACTGAACTATGTTGTTCTATTTGGGAAATAAATTTGGGTTTTGAAAAAAGGAAAACAAATCTGAATAGAGAACATTCTTTTTATCTTAATAATTCTTCAATGAAACACAAATCTAATTGTGATATTTTAAATTGGCCTGCTTGGAAAATGTTTTTAGATGTAAAGTAGTATGAACGTTACTTTGTTTTAGTTCATTAGCCAAAACTTTGCTGATGTTACTGTACAAATTGGCTGCCTATTGCTTTACACTAGAAGTATTGACCCCCTAAAAGCTAATACTGAATTATATTTCTGCAGGTGTATGTAATGTGTGCCATTAGTAAGGTAATTTGCCAGTTGCATCCATTTCTGTCAGGTACATATTTTTTTGCATTAGCCTTAAGGATGTTTGTGGAATTGTCTAATTTATGCAATTTGAACACTTGCTTATTTTCCTTCTACTTCATTTAACTCTGTTTTACTTTTTTCTTTTTAGTAGCTCTATAAATCAGTCAGCAGATAGTGGGGGAACAGACAATTTTGTCCTTATAAGTCAACTGAAAGAAGAAGTGATGTCACTTAAACGTCTCTTACAGCAGAGAGACCAGACCATTTTAGAAAAAGATAAAAAGGTAAGTACATGGTTCACTGAAGCCTGGTAAAACTTACATTTTGACTCTTGCTTGATAAATGTGAATTTTATTAGACTTTCTTTAATAAATGGTAATGTTTGTTATACATGATTCTTGTAGGACACATAACAAAAGCCCAAATTGGAACCTAAGCCATTAGTGAAGATAGATAAAATAGTCTTTCAGAATTTTTGTTCTAAGAGTCAATAGAGAGCTAATTAGAATTGTAATAATTTCTGAACATTAGTTTTCAGTAAGCCTGTAATTTAAAATAGGTCTAATGTATTAATTTGAAAATGAGATATATATGGTATATTATGTGAATTCTTACGATTTAAGAAAGCAATTGAATATAGTTGGTGATAATCCAATCATGTATTTATTTCAGTCGAGATCAAATAACTGGTGAAAGTAAATTTGTGGTAATTTCCTGTGTTTTAGTCAGTGATTAGCATTACATGTCTAAAATCATTTTGTAGGAAGGAAGTATTTATGGGACTTGATCAAAAAGGATATCAAAATATGTTGCCTATTTAGTGAAAAGTTCTGACACTCTCTGGGTGAACTTGAGCAGAATGTTTTCACCTTTTTGGATCTCAATTTTCTCATTTTAAAAATGAGAGTGTTAATGCCATCACATGGGATGGTTGTTACTATTAAATGAACGTGTAAAGTACTTACCACAGCTCCTCGCATGTGTAAGTGCTCATAATGCTATTACTGTTCTAAGACTCAATAGAGACTCTCACCTTTGAGGGTAGAACCTACATTTGTACTTGTTTTATTGTCGTAGACTAGTTTATTCTATTTGAGATATCTTATGCAGTAGGAAAATATTACAAACATTAATTTTAAAATTATAATTTGACTAGAAGCCCAGTGCGCGAAATCACACAGCCCCACCCACCCACGCCAGTCTTTGGTTGTTACAGCGTTAGGGCCACAGTCCTTTTATAATATAGATTATAAATATGTACATGAATTACCTGTTTCTAAGTATCTGTAGTAGTGCTTCAGTTTGAGCTAGCTTTTCCTCTGGCATTCAACAACTTTAATGTTACATTTTCCCATACCTTGATGGTTTAGCAGATTTAAATTTTTTTCAATACATTTGTACCTTATTTTAAGCAAATTCAGTATAGGAAATTTAGGATTGACATAAGAAAAATAGGATAGTTGTAAGTGTCTTATTTTTTAGGGTCATTTTTTATTGCAGGATTTTTTATATTAGTGGGCTTTTATGGAAATTTGTCTCATGCTCAAAATCTCAGAGACATTTCTATTGCACTAAGATTGGTATATCTGTATTAACCCAGATAAAGGTTAAATAAAATGGTAAGTTTACTATAATAATGATTCCAAAACCAAGTAGTAATGAATTGTGGAATTTTGACTTTTTTAGCTACTTTTCCTTTTCCTAGCATAATTATTCTATATTAGTGCATACATTGAATTTTCTGCTTTTGTTAGTGTTCCTTTTTTCTTAAAAAACACTAACGGGTATGGGGATTAGCAGTGATGTAAGGAAAGTAATAATGGTAAGTCTAAAGTAGTTACATATTTGCAGTTTTTCTTATAAACGTACATCTAAGACAAGCAAGTTATTTTCTTGAATTTATTTCACGTTATTTAGTGATTTCTAGAGCCAGCCTTCCTATTTCTAGAGGGAGAGGAATAGAAATATTGATGAGAGAGAAACAACATTGACTGGCTGCCTCCTGCACGCTGCCTACTGGGGTGGGGGATCCAGCCTACAACCCAGGCATGTGCCCTGACCAGGAATCAAATCAGTGACCTTTTGGTTCCTGGATCCACCCTCAACCCCTGAGCCACACTAGCTGGGCTAAAGCCCTTAATAGAAACAAAAAGGCAACTTTTCAAAAGTTTAAATGATGGTTTAATACTATTTTAACATTAAAATTATACTAAAGTAGACAATTTATCATTTCACAAAGGAGAAATTATAGATACGTTGTAAAACTCAGGAAGCCATTGTTCACATCTTCCATTTTTATAATGAATTGTGAGTTTATGGTAAAGAATATTTAAAATGATCTCACACACATAAACATTTATATGGTGTTTTTTGTTTTTATTAGTTAACTGAACTAAAGGCAGACTTTCAGTACCAAGAGTCAAACTTGAGGACAAAGATGAACAGTATGGAAAAAGCTCACAAAGAAACTGTGGAACAACTTCAGGTAAGTGACATTATTTATATACACTATTAGAAGAGGAAAGCTAAACTTTGTTAATAGTATTCATTGCCTTTGACAGGTATTGGTATCCCCGTTTTATGCATATTTGGTGCATTTTCAGCTTTGATTTAGATTTCACAATAGTTCTTAATCCTACACCCATTAAAAGTTATTGCTTAATCCTACTCCCATTAAAAGAAATCACTCAATAGGGGATTCAATATTAATTTTGAAAACTTCTGCGTAAACATCAAATGAAATTTTTAGAGGAGGATGGCATTACAGTGATCATTGTAAAGCAAAACATTAAATATTGGATATGTGAAAACAAGGTCTTTAGTACATTGTGCAATTATTCTTCCTATTTCCTCCCACATAATGGGAAGGGAGATGGGTGTAGAAAACTAATTTTCAGGGCCTCAAGTGGAGGAACTTTACATTGTTTGCAGTGATGTAAGGCACTTGGTCAATCTCAAAATACTGACAAGTATATATACTCAGTAGGATTTTTATATAGCAAACAACTGAATGATGAAGCCAAGAGTCACCACAGTTACAAAGAAGGTAATATCTGATGTCTGGCACACTGAGATGGAGAACATCCAAGCTTTTTCTCATCTAGGTTTCATAAATTTAGAAATTAGACCACATTAAATTAATTACATATCCTATTGGTTTATGGTCTTTCATTGTAGAATTAATCTTTGGGTAACAGGGTTTTCAGAAGTTTTGAAAGCATAGCACATGCCAGTACACAGCTTTAGACTCTTGATGGGAGAGTGCAGCTTGGGAAGTAAGGATTTTGCCCTATTTTTTGTTTTAAACAATGCAACACCAAAGAATATTTGCTGTGTCTATCTTTTGGCTTTGTATTCTTCATAAATAGCTTAAATTGTGTAAGATTAGAATTAGATTTAGGAAATCCTGTTGAAATTTGAAGTACAAGTTATCTACTCTTATCTCTGTCTACTCTTAACTCTTATTCTTTGTACTATTACAAAGAATTTTGAAGAGAAATCTTGCATGGAACCTGGCACATAATAGGCATTCAGGTAATTCTTTGAATGCGTGGTGATTTATGTAACTGCCCCTTTTCCCTCTGTCCTGGGAGATTGCCCATATATTAGATTTCTTATGCATTATTGTTTATCATCACCAGCAAGTATTAGTTTTATTTTTATTTTTAGTGAACTGTGTTCACTAATTATTTTTATTTTTATTTACTCTTATTTTCCTCATTCAGTTATTAATGTTGAGTGATTACCTGGGGACAAAATCTTCTGTATGATGATCTCTGATCTGATTTAATGTGGTATAACCAAAACTCTGGAGTTAATCCAGAATGAAGTAACAGAAAAACTGTGAGCGGTATTTAAATATGATAAAACTTAGTACTTCTGTTCAAAAGAGCAATTTATTGTCTCATTTTTTAGTGTATTTACAGTATTTATTATATTTACTATCTTTGTCATTTTAGCCTGATTGGCATCTTGATTGATAGCTAAGTTTTCATACGAGAGAATAATGACTAATATTTATATAGAAGTATGACATTTTCAATGTGAGTTTACATAGTCTATCATTTTTTGCTCCTTAAGATAACTTTGTTATGTGGTATGAAACTGTGTTCATATAATTAGTTGGAAGTGACATAGAAACCTATCTATATCTTTTGACTTTGATTTGACTGTACTTTCTCCTGTTCTATAGTTTTCTTACCATCTCATGTTACTTAGATTTTCTGTTTTATTCTTGTTATCAGACCACTTTCCCATATCTGGAGTCATTCTATTACAGCTAAATACCCTCTTTTAATCCCATTCCCTTTAGCAACCATGTACTAGTAGGTGAGTAAATATAGTTAACTCTTTGTCTTATCTTTTTGTGATAAGAAACTGAACCCTGTAGCAGGAAATTTACCTTATTCTATAATAGCTCTCAAAACTTTTTAAACTATCAAATCTGGGGAAAAAAAGCATTGAACATAACAAGGAAAAATTGCACAAAATACCAAAAAAACACACCCACAAACACCCTAAATTATCTAAAATATCAAGAATAACAGATTAAAGCAGCTTCCTTTCATTTAGGAGTTGATGAAAGAGGATAGAGTACTAACATTTGAGTGCCTACTATGTAGGAGCTACTGTGTTTGGCTAAGTGTTTTATATATTTACTAGAGGTCCGGTGCTTGAATTCATGCACCAGTGGTGTCCCTCGGCCTGGCCTGTGAGATAGGGCTGAAACCGGCTGTCCAACATCCCCTCAGGGGTCCTGGATTGCAACAGGGCTCAGGCCAGGCCGAGGGACCCCACTAGTGCACGATTGGGGTCGGGGAGGGACCGTGGGAGGGCTCCAGGGCATGTCCGATCCGTCTCACTCAGTCCTGATCTGCTGGACCCCAGCAGCAAGCTAACCTACTGGTTGGAGCATTTGCCCCTTGTGGTCAGTGCATGTCAGAGCGACTGGTCGACCAGTCGGCTGTCTGCCCCCTGGTGATCAGTGCACGTCATAGCGAGCGGTTGAGTGCCCTTAGCATATTACACTTTGATTGTTTGAACGGTCAACCAGACACTGAACATATTAGACTTTTATTAATAGGATTTAGTTCTTTCAACTCCTGTTATGGGGGGGTGAAGTTTCTATTTACCTGTGAAAAAATAGACTCTGGATTACATAGCAGATAAGTAGCAGAGCCAGGATTCAAAGCAGGATATGTGTGCTTCCTATTCTAGATAACCTTTTGGTTAGGACAGCATTTCTAAACATTTGTAACTTAACTTGCTTAAGAGTTTTAAAATAATGTAATGGATTTTTAAGGGTGTGTAATAAAGAAGTTATATTAGCATATAAATTTTGAGTGCTTATATTTAAATGCTGCATTATAAAATATATTTTTGTACCTATATTAGAATAGACAGTTTGAGGCTTGTCTCCATTTAACAACTGGTGTACTGTTTATTTTTCTGAAAGGCATTTTTTTTAACATAATTTATTGGCAATTGAATTTATTAGTGTCATGATTAGGAGACTGAATATGTAAGTACAGATTGAAAATTAGCTGCTGTAGAATTAAAAAGGGAAAATTGCTATCATTACCGAATTTTTAAGTTCTGGTATTTCATACTTAAAATGTGAAAATTATAAATTCATTTTTTGTTTCTTGATTGAGAGAAAAAATTTGAAGATTAACTTTTTAATAATTTGTTATGCTTTTATAGAAATACTAGAGGCCCAGTGCACAAATTCATGCACCAGTGGGGTCCCTCGGCCTGACCTGCAGGATCAGGCCAAAACCAGCTCTCCAACATCCCCTGAGGGGTCCTGGACTGCGAGAGGCGCAGGCCAGGCCAAGTGACCCCACCGGTGCACAATCAGGGCCGGGGAGGGATGCAGGAGGTTGGCCAGCAGGGGAGAGCCTGTGGGAGGGCTCCAGAGCCTGTCAGGCTTTTCTTGCTCAGTCCCAATCAGCCAGACCCCAGCAGCAAGCTAATCTACCTGTTAGAACATCTGCCCCCTGGTGGTCAGTGCACATCATAGCGAGCAGTTGAGCAGCCTTAGCATATCATTAGCATGTTATGCTTTGATTGGTTGAATGGCTGACCAGACGAATGGACACTTAGCATATTAGGCTTTTATTATATAGGATAGCTTACAGATCTGATAGAGATCTCTTTGAAGCAAATTTGCAGACATATCCTTTTTCATGCTCTTCATAAATTTGTATTTTAAAATTTGTTTCTTAAGATACTTCTTTTTTGGCCAGTAAGTCTATTTCAGTTATAAATTAAATCTGTATCTAACAAATAATACTGCCATTTGCAACAACATGGATCACTCTTGAAAATATTATGCTAAGGAAATAAATGTCATACAGAAAAAGTCAAGACCCATATGATTTTACTCATATATGAGATACAAAACTGGAATCAACAAATGAATAGACAACAACTCATAGACACAAATAACAATATGGTTACCAGAGGGAAGCGGGTGGGGAAGAGGTAGTAAAGGGGTAAAAGAAGTCAAATATATGGTGTTGGAAGGAGAGTTGACTTTGGGTGGTGAACACACAATGGAGTTTTCAGATGATCTGTAATAGAATTGTAATTATACACCTGGAACCTATATAATAATTTTATTAACCAACTAGAGGCCCGATGCACGAAATTTGTGCAAGGGGCTCGGCCCCCACCACCGTGGTGGCTGCCTCTGCCTTGGCCCCCGCCCGCCATGGCAGCCGTCTCAGCCCTTGCAGCCCCGGCTTTGTTCAGAAGGTTGTCCAATCTAATTGGCATATTGCGCTTTTATTATTATAGATGTCACCTCAAAAATTTAAAAAAAGAAAGGAAGAAAACAATTAAAATCTACATTTGACTAGGACTGGTCAGCTGAGTAATAGGCAGTTGATCATGATCACTAACTGTCAGGCATTCTTAATGATTTGTCCTCTGAATTTCTCAACTTTAGTTTTAAGGAAAAATAAAAATCCTTTTAAAAAATTTTTTTTAATATATTCTATCGATTTTTTACAGAGAGGAAGGGAGAGGGATAGAGAGTTAGAAACATTGATGAGAGAGAAACATCGATCAGCCGCCTCCTGCACACCTCCTACTGGGGATGTGCCCACAACCAAGGTACATGCCCTTGACTGGAATCGAACTTGGGACCCTTTAGTCCACAGGCCCATGCTCTATCCACTGAGCCAAACCGGTCAGGGCCCTTTTAAATTCTTGATGGTTTTCTAAATTTGAAATTGAAATTCTTAATTACCACCTTAAATATTTAACAACCAAGAACAGAGAAATGCTGTTAATTATGGAGTCAAACATGAAAAAAACTTTTGATTTACAAATATAAGATTGCTCTAAGAATATTTGCATTTTGGAGGTCATAGGTATTAATTAGGGAGAGTTTGATTGGAAAAGAGTGGGGAAGTGAAAGCACAAAGCCTGCAAAGGTTTCTGTTTCATGAAACTGCTTTTAAGATGGTATGCAGAGAAGGCAGGGTGTTATGTTGCCATAGAAAGGCTAAAGTTAGAGTAGAAGATGGAGCACTGAGGTTAAAATGGAGTCTACCTAAATAATAAGAACTCTTGAGACTTGTGAAGGGAAATGGTTTGGAATATAACCAGAGGATATCTTTTAAAACTAGAGGCCCGGTGCACAAAATTTGTGCACTTGGGGGGCGGGGGGGAAGGGTGCGTCCCTCAGCCCAGCCTGCGCCCATTTGCAGTCCAGGACCCCTTGGGGGATATCTGCCTGTTGACTTAGGCCCACTCCCCGGGGGATCAGGCTTAAGCTTGCAGTCAGACATCCTTCTGGCAGCCAGGGAGCCCTCGGGGGATGTCGGACTAAAGGCTTAGGCCCCGAAGGGTCGGGCCTAAACTGTTAGTTGGACATTCTTAGTGCTGCCACGGAGGTGGGAGAAGCTCCTGCCACCATCACTGCACTGGCCAGCCATGAGCCAGCTTCTGGCTGAGTGGCACTACTCCTCGGTCTGACCTAAACCCTAGAGATTAGTACTTCATTTTACAACTTTTTCTCGGTTTATAGGCAGCAGCAAACTCAGACCACACAGTCGGGTGTGCAAGAAATGTTGCTTTCTTTATTGTTTAGTAACCAAACCTAACTTCAACTTTAGCCCCCATTCTGCCAAGTGAAAAAACAAAAACAAAATATTATTTAACTTAGGTTCCCCACCCCCTTCTCTGGAGTTGTACTTCCATGTCAGACAGTTTATATCTCAGGCAGAGGTGCCAAAGAACCGAGCAGGGTCAACATCTGGACCTTACTCAGTCTTCTGTCTGGGCTGGCCCCCACCCAGCTGTCTTGACCCTCACCTCAGAGCTCAAGTCCATGCTGATCCCTGGTATATTCTCCTCATCTGGGCCATGAGGCCTTTTGAGTCCAATTTGCTCTCTCCCTCCCTCCCTGCCACCTTCTCTCTCTCACACAAAGAGCTATTGGGTTTTCTGGGGTGAGGTCCTCTGACACCTCCTCAGCCCCATTGCACGGACACCATCTTGGTGCCTTGGTCACGGCCACAAAGCTGTGTGGCTGCTCTCAGACCCTCCGTCTCCTGCTGCCTTAGGGAGTGACGCAGCGGGAGGGGAGGGTCACAGTCCTTTTTACGTGGCCGCCAACAAACACTCAGTGTTCCTTCCCTCTAGTTCTCCTTCTCCTCCTCACCCCAGTCCAGGCACGTCTATGTGCAGGGCAGGGGAGGGTGGGAGGCAGGCGTGTCTCTGACCCAGCACACAGGCTTCCAGATCCCCTGCTCCCCCAGGAGGTCTTCCACGTTCTGGACCTCGACACCCAGAACCTGCCCCCTCTCAGCTGCAGGTATTTGCCCACAGTGGTCAAGTCTGTTTAGAGCAGTGATTCTCAACCTTGGCTGCACATGAGAATCACCTGGGAATCTTTTCAAAATCCTGATTTCTGGGCCTCATCCTCCGGAAATTCTGTTTCTTTGTTACTAATGTTGTGGCTCTACCCCATAACAAAGAAACAGAATTTCCAGAGGATGAGGCCCAGAAATCAGGATTTTAAAAAGATTCCCAGGTGATTCTCATGTGCAGCCAAGGTTGAGAATCACTGGTTTAGAGGCTTGAAGTCAAGAAGTGCCTCTTTGTTCTCTGCTTTCTGGAGGCGGTCAGCGTGGAACATTCCTGCCTGGACTGGGGAGGGGTCTCTGGGTGTTAAGAATACCAGGAGGGGGAGCACAGACTCCTCCTAGAGTGCTGAAATGGGAAAGGCAGCACCCCCTCACCTCTAACCCAGGAAGTTTCTTTAGAAGCAGAAGCCTCGTCATGTGCAGGGGCCTGTGCTGGCTGCCTCAGTTTCTCAGCGACAACGAATTTGATGAACATCTTTTCCCCACTGCAGTAGCTGCTTCATTTGTTCGTTCTTGCATTTTTCATTAGCTGCTAAATCGCCCCCGTGGCTGCAAACCTGTTGTGCCTGACTCAGCCAGTGGGGAGCTATGGGAGCTGTGCAGGGACAGGGGAAGTGGGAGGGGGGCCCGGCCTGCAGACAGGGTCAGTGGTGCCTGCCCAGCTGTCTCAGAGGATGTGGCTTAGGTTAGGTCCTGTCCTTTAGCGACTTTAGGAGGGGAGGCCGTGTCCTCCGCTCCCCACTTTGACTCAGGGGTGGAAGTTCTCCTTACTCTCTGGCCTCATAACTCAGTGGATCATAGTGGGATGCTGCAGGCAGGCAGCTTCTGCGGCTGCACACAGGCACGGGCTGGTGGCTTCTGCAGCTGCACACGGGTGCGGGCCTGCAACCCGGGACCGGATCAGGTCACAGGCGGCGGCAGGCGGCTTTTGTGGCTGTACACAGGCGTGAGTAGGCGGCTTCTGTGGCTGCACATGCTGTGGGCAGGCGGCTTCAGAGGCTGCACAGGGGTGCGGGCAGGTGGCTCCTGGGGGGTCGGGGTTGCCGCCTGACCTGCTCCCGGGACCTCCCGCCCTCCAATCACCATGGTGATCTCAGGGCGCAGGCCAGCCGCCTGTCCCGGGAGTCCGGTGTTGCGGCCTGGCCTGCGCCCCGGCCCTCCAATCGCGGGGCACAGGCCCTCCCGTCCTCGGATCACCATGGCGATCGCTGGGCGCAGGCCAGCCTACAACCCTGGCCCCCGGGGGTCAGGTTTCGGCCTGACCTGTGCCCTGGCCCTCCCGCCCTTCCGATCTCAGGGCGCAGGCCAGCCAGCAACCCCGCCCCCGGGGGGACCGGGGTTGCTGCCTGGCCTGCTCCCGGGCCCTCCCGCCCTCCGATCGCCATGGCGATCTCGGGGCAGCAGGCCAGCAGCCAGCCCCAGGGAGTTTGGGGTTGCCCCCTGGCCTGCGCCCTGGCCCTCCCGCCCTCCGATCGCCATGGCAATAGCTGTGCGCAGGCCAGCCAGCAACCCCAACTGGCTTTCCGATGGCGATCACCGGCTGAAGGCGGCCTTTGCCCACCCCCCAGCTCTTGCCTGCCGCCTGGGTTGCAGATCACCATTCTTCAGTCCTTCCCCTTTTGCCTCCCAGCATTGCAGATACTATGCAAATTAACCGCCATCTTGGCTGGCAGTTAATTTGCATATCTCCCTGATTAGCCAATGGGAAGGGTAGCGGTCGTATGCCAATTACCGTGTTTCTCTTTTATTAGATAGGATTCTGTTATTTTAGGACAGTGCTCAGATTTCAAACTATTGTCGGCACTGTCCCCATTTTGGCTCAGAAGCTCCGAAAGGATCTGATCATTAATGTACTTGTATATATGGAGAGTCATTACAGTGGGGCCTTGACTTATGAGTGTCGGGACTAACGAGTTTTTCGAAATACGAGCCGTCTCTCGGCCGATTTTTTGCTTTGAGTTGCAAGCTAAAATTCGGGTTACGAGCCAGCTTCAGATACCCCACCGCTAGTTGGCACAGCGAACGTCACAGTGAATGCCACAACATCAGCCCAGCATCACGTGTCTCACTTGTTCACTTTTTGATTTGACATACGAGTAATTTGAGTTACGAGCTCCATCACGGAACGAATTAAACTCGTAAGTCAGGGCCCCACTATATTTACATTTCCATAGTCAGGAGATTACATAGGGAGATAGTCAAAATATGACACAGCACATTGGCTCAAGGGTAGTGTCTTCGTCAGTGGTGGATGCAACATTTGAATGAAATGCAAATTCAGTTCAGATCGATGACAATGTGAAATTCTGAATCTTTGAAAAAAAAAACTTCACCCTTTAATGAAACTAAAAATGATGATATAACTGCTCAAATTATATCAAAGCCAGCACAAAATGGCAATTAAAAGAACAAAAATAAGATTGGAAGGATGGTTCTGATGGGTATTTTTTTAAGTATTGAATATCATTAAGCTTAGAGTCTTTGTGGCAAAGTAATAAAGTCAGCGTTTTGCAAAAAGGACTTCTTCAGCTTGTTCTGTTAATTGGTGAGCGTAAAATAAAAGGCTTTGTACATTTCGTAGGGAAATACTCCTTCCAGATCATCACTTGAGTCATTTGATCTTATTCATCTTAAAATAAAACTTTTCACTTCATGTTTATATGATTAAGAGCCAAAACTTTTTTTCTATTTAAAATGTTTATTCTTGTCCTGGCCAGTGTGGCTTAGTGGTTGAGCATCGACCTATGAACTAGAAGGTCAAGGTTCAATTCCCAGTCAGGGCACATGCCCTGGTTGCTGGCTCGATCCCCAGTAAGGGGGTGTATAGAAGGCAGCTGATCAATGATTCTCTCTCATCATTGATGTTTTTCTCCCTTCCTCTCTGAAGTCAGTAAAAATATATTTATAAAAAATAATAATAAAATAAAATGTTGACTCTTTTAAGCAGATTCACTTTAAGTTGCCTGTTTTTTTTTTAAATGATTATATCCTTAGACAACAATTATATTGACATTTACAAACCAATCTATAATTTTCCATCTACATAGCCAGAGTTAAAGAGATGAATCTAAGTATACTCTTACTTAATTGTTAGTGTTTCAATGAAATCTTGTTCTGTAAGTGAAAAAAAAAGCATTAATTAAGTAGTAGTCTTCAGCATGTCTTAATATTTCAAAAATTGTTAATCTTAAATCTTTTAAATGTTTTTGTCTCCCACAGGCCAAAAACAGAGAACTACTCAAACAGGTTGCTGCATTGTCAAAGGGTAAAAAGTTTGACAAAAGTGGAAGTATACTAACATCCCCTTGAGAAAGTTATTGATTTAATGCTTCTGCTGAAAATGTAAATTTTAAAAAATTTCAGTAAAGCCCTTAAATTCTGTGTAGTGAAAAAATATTTTTGCACACCAAATGAATTGGCATATTTCCTATTCACTTTTGTAACTGATAAGCATTTTTAAGTTGTAAAACATCCAAATAAAACTTCAACTGGTTTGAAGTAACTTTATATTATTTGATATCCAGGAACTTTTTTGCCAGCAATAGTATTAAACAGTTGTAAAGGAGTGCATGAGTAGTGCTTTTTATAAAATGTAACATGCAATAATAGAGTAGGTATGGTTTTAAGAAATCATAGCAGCAGGGTTTTGCTTTGTTTTTTTGTTTTACACCATGCTAATTTCAAATAAACAGTTTTCAATTTAGAAATACAAAAGCTTTTAAACAAGGAAAATGGTGAACACTGGGTTTTTTTTTGGTGATTGTTTTTTCACTTTGCATCAACATTGATTTAGGAATCATGGTGCTTTTATTAAATGAACTTCAGAGAATATGTAAATATGTTTTTAAATTTACATAATTAACATTAGTTAGTATACTAGTATTTTCATTATTGGATTAGGAATTAATGTTTATTGTACAGTACCCAAGGTAAAATGTGTTTTGTTTTGTATAAACTGTGGATTTTTACTTACAAGTGCCTTTTTGCCACCTAATGTTTTTATTTATAGGAATGTTGATCTTTTGTACATAGTTGTTTTAAAATCATGTTTAATAAATGTTTGTATATAAATGCATATGTATAGGAGCCTATTTCAAAAGGAAATCAAACTTGCTAGTAAAATGTTTGAGGTTGCATTAAGAACTGATTATGCATATAAACTTTAGATGATTTTATGGTTTGTTTCTGTGTAAAATGGGAAGTTGTTGGTCATTGAATTCATTGAATTAGTCAAAATACTTCCCAAAGATTTAATTTTAAATCACTTCTGATAGAGTAATTTTATTTTTATGTGATATGGCTTCATGTTCATATTTTATAAGTTACATGTTTTGATTTATTTTTCTTTTATAAAAAATTTAAAAATTTATAATTTTTCTGCAGTGGTCCATATATATGCTTTCCTTATAATATGTGGTTATCTAAGTTAATATTTATGTACACCATACTTAATTTGTAAGTTTAAAGCAAATCTGGAAAAAATTAAATAACTTTTAAATCAATCTGTGACTATCTTTGAATAAATTGGAATCTTATTTAAGATTCAGGTACTATTTATAAGAAAATTATATGAGAGTCTTTAAAATTGTCTATAAAAGATTAAGGTAGGGTGGGATAGGTTATGGGAAGTTATTGACTAATTATATTCTGATCCATCTGTTTTCAGCCTGTAATGGAATTGATGGCCTACTTAATATATGCCAGTTCAGACTTGTATTTAAATTTTAAAGCATCAGGCATTGCTAGTATATTGGATAGAGTGGAAGAGTTCTTTCTCTTAGGAATTTATGAGCAGGGTAAATTTGTTTCAAGTAAACTGATTATTAAATTTGTCAATTTTGGAAAGGTTTGTTTTTAAGCAAGCAATGATTATGAATCTCATCAAAGGTCATCTTTTCTCAGAACACAGGATAATTGTAATTGTAATATGACTCATGTTTCAGTAGATTATTCCTATGGTCATTCATTATAAAGTAATATAAAATAATTCCTTGCCAAATTTGAAAACATAATCTAGGGTAATTTTCAAGTGATAGCAAAAGACTGAATCTGTAAGACTTGGAAGAACTAAACCAGTTTATTTTTATGAGATCCTTATATGTAATGTTCTTCATAAATTTCAGTACTTTGAACAATGCTAGATACTGCCTCCTTATCACAGATTTTAATATTTTATATTCTGATTATAGTCATTTGACAATCCACTGTGGTTATTATGGTTTTAAATTAAGATGTATAGTAGTTCTTACACCTTTTTGGAGCTGCTGCAAAGGAAAGGTGCCCCTTCCCACTTTTTTAGGTAACATTGAAAATTGAAAATCAATCTAAATAATTAAACTTTGCTAAAATCTTTTAGGGGTTTCACAGTATTTAGCACTAATTAAATGCCCTCTCTTTTTCCCATGACTTTATTTTATCACTTAAAATTATTTCAGTTGTATTAGTAATTGAGTCCCAGTCCCGGATCTATAGTGTATTGACATAATGAGCTGATATTCTTTAAATGTGGACCTGTAAGGAGATACTATGGTGTGCTGTATTGTGCTTTTTAGCCTGTTTTCAGCTATTAGCATTTACCAGTGTGGATCATTTTGGCTCAAGCTATTTACGTATTAATAGCCTGTGAATATTACAGTCCTTTTTAGATTGTATTGGTCTAAATATGCATTCTGAGGTGAACCTGTTAAGCTGTTCACATGTATAGACTTAAAATACTGTACTTGTACACATCCAACTGTTGACATTTTGTACTTTTTTCTAAATCTAATATTTCACAATAAAACTTGTCAAAAGCTTTGTATTAGTTTCCTATTGCTGCTATAACAAATTACCACAAACCTAGTGGTTTAAAACAGCAAAGATTTTCTTATGTTCTGGAGGCCAGAAGTCCAAAATCAGTTTCCCTGGCTAAAGTCAGGGTATTGACAGCACTGGTTTCTTCATGAAACTCTAGTGGAGAATACAATTCCTTGCCTTTTCCAGCTTCTGGGGCTGCATTTCTTGCATTCTGTGGCTCTTTGCCCCTTCCTCCATCTTAACAGCTAAAAGTTTAGTATCTTTCAGTCTCTGCCTCCATTATCATATGCTCTCCTCTCTTTGGTTGTAGTGTCTCCTTCTGCTCCCTCTTATAAAGACACTAGAGGCCTGGTGCATGAATTCATGCACAGGTGGGGTCCCTTAGCCTGGCCGGCAATTGGGGCCTATCAGGGCCAGCTGGCTGGGGGGAGGGACCGCGGGAGATTGGCTGGCTGCAGAGGTTAGCTGTGAGAGTGCACTGACCACCAGGGGGCAGCTCCTGCATTGAGCGTCTGCCCCTGGTGGTCAGTGCGCGTCATAGCAACTTGTCGACTGCTTGTTTGGTCAACTGCTCGTTCGGTCAACTGGTCATAATGGTTGCTTAGGCTTTTATATATATACTAGAGGCCAAGCATGCAAAATCGCACGAGACCCAGACCCCCACCGCGCCGTGAGACCCATCAATGCACCTCCTGGTGACTGGTCGTTTGGTTATGGGATTACAGCCACTGGCCTTTAATAATATAGATCATTGGGCTCACCTGGATGTCCCCCCATTTTCAATCCTTAATCACATCTGCAAACTCCCTTTTGTCATATAAGGCAACATTCACAGATTCTGACATACACATCTTGGGGGACCATTATTGAACCTACCATAAGCTTTATCTACTTATATCCAGGATGAGGTCCTAAAATAACATATTTGATATAATTGGCTCAGGCCAAACAGACGCTTTATTTTCCTAATTTCATTCAGACTGCTTTCATGAAATGTTTTTCTGGGGGGAAAAACAGTATATAAATGTTTAATGCTATTTCAAAGCAACAAATCAAGTTACATACAGTAAAGTTTTTGAAAACTTTGGCATATGATTATGCAAGGTTGTTTGATAGGATAAAAGTTGAAGACAAGATAATAGTCTAGTTGGGGAGACAATATACATAAAAAGGTATCTAGAACTTAACTTTGATATTATAAAGTGCCCCTTTATCAAGGGCATTCTAAGAATTGTCAGACAGGTGTCATTGCTTTCTCAAAACTTAGGTCAATCTTAAAAGAACATACCTAAATATATATCCAGTTGGTACCATAACAATACAGAGAACTATTCTTATTGCTATAAAGTTCAATGTGTATTTTTCTAATGGGATATGTCCTAAAGTAAAAAGAGAACTGCAGAAATCATCTTACACTGTCTATAATGATCATGTTGGTGGCAGTGTTAGTGTTGTTATTCTGAGATTGTGTAGGATAAAAATACTGTAGGATAAGGCAAGTGAATAATGTGGTATTCTAATCCTATCATTCTATTTGTTGCTTAAGACTGGGATTCTTCGAAAAAGAGAACAGATTATTGGTTAGCTGCTAGAGTACACAAGAGACACATTCTTAACATTACATGCTTTCTGGTTTTATGGAAATGAATTCTACCTAAATCTGATCAAGCATCTACTAAGGAAATAGGACAAAAATGCCACTGAAGGGATGCAATTGGCATGATTATTTCTTCAATAAGTTGCAAGGGGGAAAAAGTGATGGAGGGGAACTTATAGAATGAGATGTACTTAGGAGATATCAACCAGTCATAATGATTGAACTGATCTGGACCTTGAATCAAAGAAACTTAAAAATTGAAAAAAATTATAATTTATGACAACCAGAAATTTGAATACTGACTGGCTAATGATATTAAGGAATTATTGTTAACTTTTCAGATGTGATATGGTATTTCAGCTATGTTTAATTTGCGGGGGGGGGGGGATATTAACATCTTTGAGTCTCAATTTCCTTATCTGTGTCATTAACAATTCATAGAGTTTTAAGTGTTAAATAAGATAAAGCACTAATATAGAAAGTTATGTACTCTCTGGCACATAGTAGGTTTACAATATGTTTAGGCAATTCATTTATTTAATCTATTAAAAATATTTAAAGGTAACATGTAGGCTAACTGCCTTTTCAGCTTTCAAGCATGTCTCTTTGATGGGTCTGATGGCAATAGAATATTAGGGATGATTAATGGCTTTATAGTTATTAGCCATGGATCTAATTTTCTTTTATCAAACACAATATTATCAAGAGTCCCAAACACATAAAATAAAAGCTGAGACACTTTGAATTCAAGGCAGCAATGCTATCCCTTTCATGGTATGATCCAACACAGAATTTAAACATCTCAGTTATTTGAATTATGTCTGAGTTATTGCTAATTTTGAATTAATTGAGAGCCTTGATTTAATTTATTTCAGAAGGGTGGATATCCTATTAAATCTCAGTATCAACTGAACATGTATTATGTAGTATGTGCCAGTTATTGTGCTGGTTGCTACAAAGATGCAGAGATCTTTATTTTCAGGAGCTCACAATCTAGGGGAGACAGCCAGGTAAGTATGGTATTGCAGAAAATATGATATATTGCATATATTCACAAATGATCACCTTAAGAAGGAAGTTACTAAGATGAGACCCTTTCATGTAAAGAGAAAAACTGTGCAAAGGCTCCTGACTTCTAGAACATTACACTGGTCTGTTTTTCTCCAACTGTACTTATTGCTTCTCAGTTTCTTTTGCTGGTTTCTTCTCACATTTCTTACATTGAATAGTTGGAATTTCTTATATATATATTCACTTCATAGATCAACTTATATATATATTATTTATAAGATAATGACTCCCAAACATATAACCTAACCTCTCTCCTAATTTCCAAACTGTGTTTCATCTCTATTTGGGTATCTAAAAAGCCTCTGAAGTCAGCTCCTCTTTTTGTCTCCACATCTCAGTTAATGACAACTCAGTTCTAGTTCTTCAGGCTAAAGTCTCTTGATGTCATCCTTGACTCAGTTCTCTCCCTCGCCCTGTCCCCTTCCTCTCTCCCTTTCTTCTTCCCTCTATCCCTCTTCCTTCTCCCTTTTCCCCTCTTCCCTCCCCCCTCCCTCTCTCCTCTCTCGTCTCTCCTCTCTCCTCTATCTCTTTGTCTCCATATCTGTTCTTTCAAAATTTCTGTCAGTTCTAACTTCAAAATATATTCAGAAGTTGACCACTTTTCACCATCTCCATTCCTATCTGGTATTTTTGTTGCCTGCCGGCTATTCTCAGCAGAGAAACCGTGATTCTATTAAAGGATGTCATATTGTGTCATCCCTCCATTCCAGTGGTTCTCAGCTGGAGGGATATATTGCTCTTCTGGGGAAATTGGCGATCAATGTCAAGACATTTTTGGTCATCAGGACTGGTAGGAGTGTGTGTGTGTTGGGGGCGGGAGTGGGGGGGTGGGCGGGGGTAGGGAGAAGATGCTGCTAACATCAAGTGGGTAGAAGCTAGGGATGCTGCTAAACATCCTACAATGCACAGGATGGCCCTGCCCAAACTAAGAATTGTCTGGCCTACAATGTCAATAATGACAGGGTTGAGAGACCCTGCTGCACTCAAAACCCTAAAAAGACTTGACATCTCAACCCTTACAGTAGCCTAAAAAGCCTTGACTTTAATGTGTCTCTACCTCACCAAAGCTTATAGGACCAATCAGTAAAGTAGCTAGTGCCCTACTTTTTTTAATTCTATGATTTAAATATTAAAGAGGAACTGAAATAGTTTCAAGATTTTTCTTTTTGTTTAAATTCCTACTTATGTTCACTAGGGGGAGCACTTCACTACTAAATAATACCCTACAATCTTCATTTGTTGTGCAGCCAGCCATGGGAGGCACTGTAATAAGAGCAAGCATTCTCATCGCTACTCTTGGCAACAGCAAGTTTTATTAAATAAGGGCTAGGTATTGTTATAAATGGGAAAACCTATTTGCAAAAGCAATTGGTTTTGCTTAATTCCAGAATATAACTTTTCAGAATACAACCAATTAGCTCACACACACACAAAGAATTTAAAATGTTTGCCTTTGGAAGTATCAATTTTGAATTCAGAAGTTTTATTTGAAAAATAATTGCTTTTAATATCTGTCTTGAAGTTCTGTACACATTCCTTTCTCTCCAAAGCCTGTGAGGGAGTTCCTCTACCCACTATACTTAGAGGCAACATGATGAGTCAGGGAATCAGCGGTCCTAAGTCAAAAACCCTCCATGGAGTTATACAATACACAGCCCATGGTTGATGGCCTGAGACTTGGAGCACCTGCTGGCTGGAATGGTGTGCTCTGAGCCGCGCTATTGCATGTACTGGACAGCTCCTGAGCGATCACTTCTTTATAGATTTTGCTTATCTTTGTGCACTTCCTGTGGCATGGACTTTTCTTTGAGAGGTTAGTTAAGGCCTCCCTTATTTGTTAGTAATGGGAAAGATCTTCCAGGATACCAGGGACTCATGTGGATGGGGCCATTCAGCTTCTATCGAAAGCCCCTCTTTTCATATTCTTAATTGTTAATTTAAGCTAGAAAAATCATTTCTGCCTTGCCCACATAACAACTAACCAAACTGTTAGGTATTTCTAGTCATGATGAGAACTGTAAATTTTCTTTGAATAAAATCACTAACTTCTGTTGAGTGAATGGCGAACATTATTGAGGCATTGGGCCAAATGTATCACATGCATTATCATCCTATATAATAAAAGCCTAATATGCAAATTGACCGAATGGTGGAACAACTGGCGGGATGACCGGTCACTACAATGCACACGGACCACCAGTGGGCAAATTCTTAACACAGGAGCTGCCCCCAGGCCCCAGGCCAGCCAAGGAGGGTGCCAGTGGGCCCCCCCGCCCCATCCCCCAATCACCCCGCCAGTCGCCCTGCAGAGAGAGGCAACTGGCAGCAGCGG